TTTGTATTGGGACTGAGTAAAGTGAAGGGATATTAGTCCCTCTTTAAAGGTCTACTTAGAGGAAAAAACAAGACTGGACAATGTCAATTGTCAAAATTAGCAGCAAAGCCTTATTCTTTGGTTACAAAAAAATACCACTTCACTACTACTTTTTTTTTTTTTTTTTATTTTAGTTAAATTTCTCTTTTAAGGAGCGATCGGAAGCTAATGCCGGGTATGAGGTAGAAGAGCATAACTGAGCAACACTGAATGCAGTACACACAGTACCTGAACATTCACAGCATTGAGTACTTGAGGGAAATTTTTAAAGGGTAAATGTCTAATATATCATGAAAATGTTTGTCTGTATGCTAAGTCACAAAGACTTGTGGGTATATATGCACATTTTTATGAAATRTGCAGTGACTTAAGAGGCAATTTAGTAAATTGAATTAAAATACATATGCTTTTAGTGCTTTTCTGGTGGGAAGACAATAAAACATGAATAGGTAAATAAGCCCAAACCAGGCACTTCTCTAAGGCCCTATGCTGGGAACTTGCAGATATACAGAAATGACGTACACGAAGTGCCAGTAAAATGCAAAAAATAAGAAAACAGAATTGGGAGTAAAGTCCGTAAATGTAATAAAATACTTGAAAGATGGTGGATGTGGAGGAGTAGATGGAGTCTGCTGAACTAATAGAGATGTAATTTAATCTTTGTCCTTCTGCACGCTAGAATACTATAAAGACTTTGCTCTTGCAAAGAGCGCGAGCCCAGAACGGCCTTGGCAAAGGTAGGACTGTCTGAGGAAGAAGTATCGTAAAGCTGCAGAAAAACAGAGTCATAAACCAGAGTATCCCCTGGAAGCTGCGTCTGGACGAGGATCAGGCGGCCGGGCCCTGGAACAGCAGGCTGGCCCTTGGAAATCGGAGCTTTTAATGATTTGGGTTTTAATAAGTGATGATTACCTCGATGCCAGAGGAGACCCTAAGATGGAGAAATACATCCTCAGCACTAGTGTGGCTTGGAGGTAAAAATAAACCTGTCAGGGCCACGTTACTGCAGTGTGTGGCTGGGAGGGATTGGGGAGATAGTACAGGTAATAAATAAGATACACATTGGTACTTTTTCCCTAAAAACCTCATTCGTGTTAAACAGCATCTTCACAAGGCGGCTGCTCTGCTCAGGAGGGGCGGATTTGGGGATGCCCGCAGGATGTGTGCGTGTTCGGGTGCTGTTTGCTGGGCCGGCGCYGGCGCCGCGGGGGGCTGCGCTATGGGGGCTGCGCTGAGGCGCCGGGGCCGCGCTGCCCCTCGGCGGCTCCGCCATCGCCGCCCTGCCCCGCCGGCCGCTCCCGTCGCAGCCCCGTCCTCCGCTGCCTCGCGCACAACTTGCCTCCTTTCTGCTGCGCTGGCTAAAAATACCCCGTCCTTCTGAAGCCCCGGAGCAGAGTGACTCACGTGCTGAAGGGAAGGAAGGCGGCTCTGTTTCCCTGCGCCCAGGGCTTCGGAGGGGAGGCTCCGGGAGTCCTCGCAAGGCGCAGGCGACGTCCCTGGCCTGGGCCCGCTGCCTTTCCCACCCTGGTTGGCGCCGCCCGCCCGCCCCTTGGCGTGAGGGTCGCTACCATGGCTGAGAATAAAACTTGGGGCCTTCGGCAGGGCTCGGTGGGAGTGGAGATGTGCGGTGTGCTCCAAGGGCCAAGGATCTTCTGGTTTGTCAYGATTAAATTCGCGCTGTGGGGCTCACGATGCCGTTGGAAGATCAGCTGCAGGACACGGGGCCGGCTCCAAGTGGGCCCCTCTCCGGGCAGCCCTTCCCTGGCTCCATTTTCTCTGCGCCTCTTTGAAGCTCCTCTTTGTCCATCTCCTTTCGAAGAAGCGTCCMCCCCCCCCCCCCCCCCMAAAAAAAAAARACTCTAATTTTCATGTAAATGGAGCTGGTTGCCAATCTTTTAAGATAAGTTATTCATAGGACGACAATGTGTTTATGGAGGAACACGCGGCAGAAAGTGGCCTGTGTATGTGCGTGTGGTGTGGGGGTTGCTCAGCAACCTTTCTCGTGGCTCAGTCGCTTAGCACAAGAATCCAATTCCAAATAAGATATTTGGGGACCCCGGTTAACTTAGTATGCAGGAGCGAGCCTAACCTGTAAAGACGAGTCGAACAGGAAATTGAATCAGCTTTCCCGGGAAACAATAAGCTTTGCGAGAAGAATTCATGTTACAAAGGATCATATAGGTCAAATGTTGCTTTCTCTCCAACTCCCATATGGATTTTTTCATATCCAAGTTCCTGGGTAGATCCTAAATCACTGCCAAGTGCTAGTGATTTAAATCACTACCCATTCTGATAATGGGTGCCCAGGAGCACTGGCTGTTATCTAAAGCCTAAGAAAGCCAACTTTACTTAATGCTTGTAAACTTCCCATGTTTTTATTAATAGTAGCCTGGGAACTCGTATAATGAGGTTGTGTTTGCTCCTGTTCTTGTCACAGGCTTGTTTTAAACARTTTTACTGAAATACACACTTTGACTTAAAGAGAGAATAATCTATGCTGATGGGAGGGCAGAGTGTACAATTTATATTTATATGTGTGTATGTATATACATATATAAATATGTGTATATTTGTATGTGTGTATACAAAAACATTTTTTTTTAAAAAAAAGCTTCTTAAAAGCATACTGTGGTTAGACACGTTAGCTTGGATTTTCTTTCTTTTTTTTTTTCTCCACACTTCTTTTGTTATAACCCAAAAGGAGCTGGGTTTGTCCTTTGTGAATATATATTTAACTCATTTCATTTTTCATGCTGGACTCTCTCCTTTACTTAGTTAGTGTTCACATGGATGAGCTGGAGATCCTTCCATCCCGGGTCCCTGAGCGCCCTGTTCCTCCCCAGCAGGAGCYTGTCCAGGTTTCAGAGGAGAACAGTCAAGTTGAATGGGGAGAACGGGCAACCAAGGCCCTGCTGTATCGAGCGCTTGCAGATTTTGGGCCAGGGCTGGCCCAGATGACCCCCTTGCAGAGCCTAAAAAAGCAGGATACAGGTCAGACAGCAGAACGGCAAAATCAGTGGTTCAGCTCTATTTTAGACCTGAGCTTGAGCCAAAGGCTAAAGATGTTCAGCTCTCCAAGTGTCTCTCTCGCACAAGCTGTTTCCTCCAGATTATTCAACGTGGAATGAAGGCTTTTAAAATCTAATATTAGCATAGCCTTCAAAAAGCGCATAGCATACAGCATTAATAGAAATCTTGGAAAAAGCTTTTTAAATGTTGACAAAAATGACTTACTGCTAGCAAAAAGAAGTGCTTTAAACAAGAGAGATCTTCCTGTGCCTTGTGCAGCTATATGAAAAAGAGGTTGCATATGCATATACCCAGCCTGCATACATCTTTTTTAATTACCTTAGGTTGCAAACAGTTGATTCATAAGAAGAATTTGATGTATTGTAGGCCTGTGAAAGTAGGCACTTGTTACAGTAAGTCATCTCCTGACTACTTGATTTCACACAATGGTTCAGATTATTTCAGAAAGTGAGGAGCACATGCGTGAGTGCGTTCTTCATCTTGTAGCAGCTAATTATTCCAAAGCAACAAATTTAATTGTCAAGGGAGAGCTTGTTTTGGAGTATCTTTCCTGAACAATCTATGCTGACTTTTGCATGTTTTCTCATACACTTATTTTTGAAAGGATGGGATATTTCTTAGACAAGTAAGGACAGTTGTTAGGTTTCTAGTGTCTTATTTTGCTGTGTGGAAATCTGTGGCAGACTGTGCTGTTGTTTATATATGTGGCCAGAAAACTTAAGCCACTCCGGTAGAATTATTGAGATATTTAAGGGTCATTGGTACGGAAAAGCTTAGATTTTATGTTAGGGGCATGAAATATTTGGTATGCAAATGTGATACAGTTACTGATGGATAACTTATTAAAAGTCATTAACACCGCATTGTAATTAGTGACTTGGGAAAATGAGCAGCCAGAGTTTCCAGAAACATGAAATATAACCGCAAMGAGGAAAAGAATCGAGACAAATTGTACCAGGGGAAACTTCAGTTAGACATTAGGAAAAACTTTCTAATGATGGGAGGAGTTAGTCCTGAACTAAAGACTCAGAGGTCTTTAAGAGCAGAGTGGCACAAAGTGCCAAGCTTGCGCTTGGGACAACCCCTCAAGGCCCCTTTCCACCCTCTTCCCATTGGTGCCAACTCTATTAAGACCTCTAGACTCTTAGCTCAATCTCTTTGTTTTCCTAATAAATCCAAAAGCCTTGGTTACTGCCACCTGCTTATTGTCTACTAAACATATGAATGATCATCAAAGGGAAGTTGATTTTTTCCCTCCTTTCAAGCCCCATCTCTTCTTTAGCTCTCGTTGGCGCCCAAAGTCTGTGTCCCCTGTTCTGTTCTTTTCTGCATTTGGCAGCTGCCCCGCTTAGTCTTTCTGTTGTTTTTCCCAGGCAGGTTCTTTAGCTGATTCTTGCTGTTTTGGGGGAGCCAGGGTGCTTTTCATGCAAATATTTGGCACACAAAGTGCTTCTAATCTTCCAAACACTTAGAATCTAATTAGATTCTGATGCGGAAGAAACTGCTGCTTAATTTCATTTCCCAAGTGTGGCCTCTGCACATACCCTGAGAGATGTTTCTCTTTTTTTTTTTTTTTTTTCCCTTTTTTCCACCTTGCTGTCAGTACTTCTGTTCAGTCCATCCGACTGCTAATTTTAAGGCTGTGCCAAGTTGTGGATCGCCGTTCTTCGGGCCGCTCTGTAAAGCCTGGTGGTGGTCAGAGCCCTTCCCTCTGTTCTTGCGTTCTGTCCTGCTCGAGCCAAAGCCGCTGCTCGGAGCCAGGGCGGGAGCGCGGGCGGCCCTCTGGTCGCCCCCCTGCTCCGGGAGCTCTCCAGCACCCGCGTGGCCCTGGGGAGAGAGCTGAGCCGAGGCCCTTAGCCTCCAACCCGGTAAGATAAAGCAAATTAATGTGTTATTCCCGGYGCTGATGGAACTGCGTGCCTCTCTTGCAGGAGAAGAGAGTGCAAGTCTCTCCACCGTTAACAAGAGGACCAAGTGCCTTTATCCCAGAGAACGAAGTAAGTGTGGGGCGAAGGGTAGCGGGGGGATGCGGGCGGCTCCGGCCCTGCCTGAGCCAGCGTGAGCCACAGGGAGGGATCATCGGGAGCAGGGCTGGAGATCCGGCCTCCCTTCCGTGGGACTATTTGACTCGCTCTGCCCTGTCCCCATCCCTGGGACACCCGTGAATGTGAACGCTGCATGRGCCCCGTTTGAGGGGCTATTGCCCTTCACGTGGGGCCTGGGGGGAGGCCTTGCTCTGTTACAGCATTTTCAGTACATAACTCTCAGAGCGGTGACTGACCTTCAGCTTGAGAGAACCTAGAAATCCGGCGAGCTTCATAGGTCACAGCTGTGGCTCCTAAGCCAATTTATGGTTGAAAGGTGCAGTGTGACTTCAAACTCAAGAGCTTTGTGTATGATTTAATGTTCGATTGAAACCTTGATTTGCAGCTTGCTACAGCTTTCCAGTAGTGTCATTTTTTTTTTCCCAGGATACTAATCCCCAAGGAGGATCATTTACTGATGAGTTATTTCAGTGGCAAATATAAAAACAGGTCCTTTCCTGTTCTGCTTTTGAGTAGTTGCTAAAGCCGGGCAGTTCCTGCACTGAAGAACGTGCCCAGCTGTTCTCTCAATCTCTTTTCCTACACAGGGAGGGTTTGAGCCTAAAAGCAGAGCAATTAAAAACCTACAAACAAGAAAATATAAGCAAAGGGACACAGTTTAAAAATGAGTCTCCTAGACTTGGGAAGCAGGGGGCATGACTCCCAGACAGTCCCACTTGTGAAGGGGATTTCCCCAATATGAAATAGGGACCTGAGATGCCAAAATTCCTAATGACTTTTTTTGTGAAGGGAATGGAAGGGAAGCACCGAGTAGTCCTGAGCCAGGAGTAGCCCTGGAGAAAGATGGAGCCTCTACCTGGGGTTGAGGTTCATCGATAAAAGGTTCATATCAAGAGTGAGTGATAAAGACTGTTTGTTACACAAGTGGCTGGTCTTTCCCCCCTGTTCCCTGGCTGTTAAATAATACAGTTGATAGATGTAATTGTAAATTAGTAACACATTTAATGTCTCGCAAATCTTGGTAAGTTAATTACAGAACATTGCTCTTATCAAAGCCTACTCTGTTTTGATAATGAAAAGATTTTGATATGGACAGAGTAATGGGAACCTTGACAATTAGGTTGTTATTAAGGTGTCATAAGTCTTTACCAGGAGAATTGAGACAGCGTGTTTGTGAATCCATGGATGGTAATAACTCAGGAGGAGCTACCTATACAACCTGGAGAGAGCAGTAATATAGGTGGAGAAATATCAGAAGGAGTAGGGCTACATATTGCTATGCCTAACATAGCAACAATGCAGCTCTGCAGGATTATATTTCAACTTGTCAGCGTAATTTCTTTTCCATCACTTGTACTGAGTTAAAAGGAAAGCTCCTGACAAACTGGAGTTTGTAGCAGGACTGAAATGTAGATTCAGTAAGAAATACCTGCAAGAGGCACTTGCTGCAGAATAAGGGGTATTACTTAGAGTGGAGTGGATAGATAGACTTCTGGTGGTAAAGGTATACTTAATGATGACTGAGGAGGCCTCTTTTTGGTCTAAAATGCAGAAAAGCTGTTGTAGGGAAGAGCTGTACATGTAAAAATTATGGAGCTCCTTAGCTGGATAGTTCTGCTTCTTCYCTTTCTTTTCACAAGTAAAAGGGGAAAATACTGCAGGGAGAAACGAAAATGCAGTATAATATGAACTCCTATATAAAACTTGATTCAAAAATATTTGAGGCAGTCTGTTCATCAGCCCATCAGGAAGAAGGATAACCTGCTTTAAATAGAATCAAATTCAACAAGAGAATAGTTATCTTGGTAGTTTCAAGTACTTTCTACCCTCATGTGCACTAAACTAACTGAAATGGGTTCCCATTTCATAGTGCTTTCAATAATAACCTAGCTGGTCTAATACTGTATAGTTTGAGAATAACTACTGTGTATTCTAGTCTTTGCTTGTAACTTTAATGATGAATGTGTTTCAAATGGCTGTTCTTGCTGATAAACACTGAGTAATAGCATTAATAGTATGTCAAGGCTTGCAGTCGAAGAGCTCCTCTTTTACTGCAGCATTTCATCTTGTGTCCAAAGTCCAGCTTGGCTGGAATAATTAAAGAACAGCTCTTGTTTAAAGAAAGCATTAAATTCCTGTTCTAAATAATACCCGAATGTTATGGACAAATTAGCATTTGATCTCCTCTTCAATTATACAGACACAAAAGTGGTAGATTGCCAGGCTGTTTCTGTAATTTGGTTACATAACCCGGTGCCTCTCCATTAATTTTGAAGTCTGTGGTAGGGCTGAGTGCTCAGGTACTGTGTGTGTCTATACAGAYGGCCCTCCATAAAGATGTGACTTTCCATTTAACTTCTGTTTCCTTCCAGATCTCCATACTTCAAGTGGCTGAGATTTTACCCTCTTGGTTTTCATAGCACTGTATTAAAATAACAAGTGTATAGTGTTTATCAGTTCTCAGTATACAAGATGCACTTATATGTGAATATTTGCACACATGCATGCACGTAGATTTTAATATATGCGTGCGTATCTACAGAATTGGCTGCAAGTTTGTACAAGAGCCAACCTTTCCTATGGCAGTATGCTGCTATCCAGCTAAAGCTGGAGGAAGCCTCTCTCAGTTCAATTTCTCTGTCTTATTTCTAAGGTTATGCAAGCCAACGGTCTGGACGAACGTACGAATCTTCTTGTGGAGGAATACTCGACATCTGGTCGCCTGGACAACATCACCCAGGTCATGAGTATCCACACTCAGTACCTGGAGTCCTTCCTCCGCAGCCAGTTCTATATGTTGCGCATGGACGGGCCCCTTCCATTGCCCTATAGGCACTACATTGCTATCATGGTGTGTACCAACAACCTACACACTTTCTTTTTCTGTCATCAAGGCTTACTTATATATATATATGTAAAGGAAAAATGGGAAAATTCAGAAAGGAAGAACTAGTGTGACATTTTAGGTAATGACTGTATATGCATGAATATTTTTTAAAGTTGATTTTCATCTGAATAAAGGATATCTAGTCATGAGGTTTTCATGGAGAAGAGACAGTTGGCAAAGCAGACCGGTTTTTTGTTGGTATCCCACAGTGAGACCCTTCTCACATGCCCATGGGAGTGAGGTTTTGCAGACAGCACTTAAAGCTGTGGCTCTTCAGTTCTGGGATTGTAACCACCAGAGCACAGCAAGAGGATGAGAGGCAACAGACTCAAGTGACAGGTTTCAGATAGACACAAGAGAAACAGTGCTCACCAGGAGGATGGTCAAACACTGGAACTGGGCCCAGCAGAGGTTGTGGGATCTCCAGGGATGAAGATCTTAGCCAGGCAAAGCTGTAAGMAACCTGGATGAAGATTACCCTGTAGTGGGTTGGAGCAGAAGAACTGCAGAGATCCCTTGCAAYCTAAATTAGATTTGGTTGATTCAAAGTAAACAAACTTCAATGCTCTTTACTGGCTTCACCAAAAAATGTTTCTCAAAAAAAAAAAATCCAGTTCCTTGCAACTAAATGATATTTTCATGTTGTGAATATATCCTGTTTTTCACCTGCAGTGAAATCAGATTATACCTAATCCGCTGCACTTCTGCTTCTTTGTTTAATTATTTCAGGCTGCTGCCAGGCATCAGTGTTCCTACCTAATAAATATGCATGTTGATGAGTTTTTGAAGACGGGAGGAATTGCCGAATGGCTGAACGGTTTAGAGTACATTCCACAACGACTGAAAAATCTCAATGAGATCAACAAGCTCCTTGCACACCGACCCTGGCTAGTCACAAAAGAGCACATTCAGGTACCTGGTAAATGTGATTGCAGGAAATGGCCTCTAATAAGAACTGCTAGTAACTATGCCAGTGTGTGGTTAGGCATTCTTAAACTCAAGATAAACTCGTTATCYTGAGTTTAAGAATTCAAGGAAGTCTTGGAGTAACTGAATAACCCAAGAAAGTCRTCAATATGACAAAGCCAACAAGGTTTATTTTCTTAGGAATAGCATTGACTAGAATAACTCTAGTAGGAAAGTAATATATTAAGTTTCTCTTTTTGAGAATTTGTGTGCAAGTGAAATATGGAGGTAGTAGAAAAAAAAGAATTGATGCCTTTCTAAAACATGTATAGTCRTACACAAATGTAGGGGACAAAAGCAATTTATATTTACACTTTTTTTTATTCTCATTTCAGAAACTTGTCAAGACTGGGGAAAATAATTGGTCCCTCCCTGAACTCGTGCACGCTGTTGTCCTGTTGGCACATTATCACGCCCTGGCAAGTTTTGTGTTTGGTAGTGGCATTAATCCAGAGAGAGATCCAGATACATCGAATGGAGTCAGACTTATAGCAGTCAACAACTTCTGTGTCTGTGATCTTGCCAATGACAACAACATAGAAAATGCATCCCTCACAAGTAGCAACTTTGGGGTTAGTGTTGCAAGAAGATTCATTTGCTTGCCTCTGTTTTGCATTAGAAAGCTTTCTTCCATTCTTTCCTGTTTAAATTTCAGTGTAGTTTTAAATTTGTTTTTTTTTTTGTCTACTTTACTGGAACGTCTGGGTCTGATAACTGTTATGTTTGCTGTAGCAGTTTCCRTTGTAATCTGTTTCCCAACCACACTGAGGCAGAGAAATGTAGTCAGAATAAGATGATTTTAATAGTTAATCTCATAAGCCACTGAACAAGGCAAAAACTTCGCTTCCAATTGAAAGCCAAAAATTGGAGTTTGTTCAGATAGTATATCACTAGCTGCAGCATTTTATGAAAGTTTTCATAACATGGAAAGAGAAAGGGGAAGGGAACAAAGCAAAGGTCATAACACACCTTTCGACTTTGACAAGGCCTGTGATCTCAAAGCAAGTTCATCTTGAAGCACTTCCTTGCAAATGGGGTGAAAATGACTGAAATAAAAAGGTTTTATTCTTCACACTGGTTTCTGATCTTGAATCAACTAAAAGAGAAATTTGATTACTAGTTTCTTTCTCTAGAAAGGAAAGTGGCTTTATAATTCTTTGAAAAAGAATCTTTGAATTGAGGCTAATTCAGCAATCAGTAGTTTATCTCCTTGGATGGAAGACAAGGATTTTAGACCCTGGACAAGGGTCTAAAAGGATTTTAGTTGCTGGATAGATTTTCAAGATGAGCACTGAGCTTACAGGATGAGCGTGCGATCAGTCAGCTATTGCATCTGCGGTTTCTGTGTTGGAAGGCTTGCAAGCTGCAATCGCCAGTATTTCTTATTATGCAGTATTTCTTATTATGCAGCTAAGGGCTGCTTCTAGCTGCATGCTGCTTGTTAAACAGTGAATAACATGATATAAAACATTTTTAGCTATGGGCAGATGGTCAGAATTAGAAAAAAAAAGAAAAGAAACACCAAGCAATTTATCTTACCAAAAATCTGAATGATCAAGGTAGTTTGCAGAATGCCAGACTTTGATATGTTTTGATATATTCTATCAAAGAGGTACAAAAGGAAGAAAAAGACCTATATGAAGGTTATTTTCAGAATAGAAACCTAGAAAACCTTAACAAAAAGAACATTGATTTGCTGCATCAGGTTATGTATTGCAGGATTGCAGTTCATCATTACAGTAATATATTTTGCATTACCATTTGATTGAAGAAAGGTATCATGTTAAAAGTTGGAATTTTTTGTTGCACACAGACCACACAGAGTGCATTTCCTCAGCCATCTCTGTGGTAGGATATGTATTATAAGTGACTGTGGTTTCCATGTTCAAACATCACCACTTTTACTATTAACCTTACTGCAGTAAAACGATAGGTTTAGAGCAACACTTACCCACTCCCTYCTTCTGACTTTCTGAAAACTGCTTGTCTGCCTCATGTGCAAAAATCATTCTGCCTTGGATTCTTGTGTTTCACCGTTTCTTTGAGAGCATTTCCTGCAGAGCATGAAATCTGAAGATGACACTTGTTGTCTATCTGCTAATTTTCCAGAATGTCATGGTGTCTTTGCAGATTGCGGACTCTTTAAGTGAGCTGGAGGCCTTAATGGAGAGGATGAAGAGGCTACAAGAAGATAAAGAGGATGAAGAAGCCTCTCAGGAAGAGATGGCAACTCGCTTCGAAAACGAGAAGAAGGAGAGTCTGCTAGTAATTAGTGGAGGTATTTGTGCTTTTCCAGTTCTGATCTGTCTGCTCTTTGTAAGCCCTGAACGCTCGAGTTCAGTTCAATGAATATGACTCTCTGGCAGTTTCTGTATTCTGACTCTTGCTTTAGTAAGATTGTGACTGCTTCATCTTTTTAAGATTTATTGATTAGCAGCTGTTGTCACCCTTGTTGCTACTTGAAATTTAGCTTTTTTATTTGGGGAAAACAGAAGCCCTAGGCTTCTTGAAGTTGAGTTAAATTCAGATTGTTTCCTTTGTGTAAATACTCACTTCACAATTGRTATTTCACAATTGTAGGTTCTACAATACATAGGAGTTTTATACATCACACTTTGGTAGCCTTCAGATAATGATAAATAACTCTACACTATTTCAGCAAGACCCAWTTTTTTACTGTTTTAATTACTTCCTCTCTCTGGAAAGGAGATCTCAATCTAAGTGTTTTTCACTGATCGTTCAGCTATGCTGTTTCTGTTACTGAATTATTAYAGAGATTTCTTAGCATTCATTTTATTTTTAAGTATTGTTCAAAATTAAGAGCTGGTAGCCTCTTTTCCTTTATTTTTCATKTCTTGTAAAGACCTTCATCTCTAACAAACCATACGATGAAATCTGTTTTATATGAAAAACAGGATTTGGATTTTTCTTTCCTTACAAAGAATGTATTAGAAGAAACAATATGATTAGGACAGTGAGAACATCCAACCAGCTCCACGTAGTAGAGCCTACCTGGAAATGGTGGCTCATATCTTTTTATAAAGTGACCCATAAAATGTGCAACGTTTTCCCAAACGACTTCTTTGTGAGTTGAAGGTGTTTTAAATTTCTGTGCACTGAACCCAAAAGAGGGGAAGAGTGAATCATTAGAGGGATTTTGTGGCTCTCTAAGAACACTCGAAATCTCTGAAAGGAAATAGGGTGGGGGTAGATGATCTCTAGAAGTCCTTTCCAGCCTTAACCATTCTGTGATTCTGTGTAAAATATATCCAAAATCATCACTAATGTATTTTTTAGAAGTGGGCATCATCCATTCTCGTTCAGTTTTCCTATGGTCAGACAATCTTGGGATAGCGTAGACAAACTGGCAGCCTCTACAGTTGTCAAATTGAGTCTACAACCTCATTATTAAACTAGGACTTCTATGACTCGGAGCTTGTTAGGATGAGGTGTTGCTTGGGACAGAAGGATTTCTTGAAGAGGCTGCTGGTAGATTTGTTTAGCTCCCTGCCTTTCCTTCCTGTGCCCTCCACCCTCCTCAGGAGGAGTGTTGCCAGCAGGCCAAGGGAGGGGATCCTGCCCCTCTACTCAGCTCTGGTGAGGCCGCTCGGGGAGTATTGGGTGCAGTTCTGGGCTCCCCGGGACAAGAGGGATGTGGAGCTTCCAGAGAGCGTCCAGCAGAGGGCAACCAAGATGGTTAAGGGACTGGAACATCTCTCCTGCGAGGAGAGTGAGGGAGCTGAGCCTGTTCAGCCCGGAGAAGAGAAGGCTGAGAGGGAATATGATTAATATGTATAAGCACCTAAAAGGTGAATGTAGGGAGGAAGGGGGCCAAGCTCTTCTCATTGGTGGCCAGCGACAGGACAAGGGGTAATGGGTGCAAGTTGAAACACAGGCAGTTCCTTCTGCATGTGAGGAAGAACTTCTTTCCTGTGAGGGTGCCAGAGCCCTGGAACAGGCTGCCCAGGGAGGTTGTGGAGTCTCCTTCTCTGGAGATCTTCCAAACCCGCCTGGCTGCCACCCTGTGCCCCGTGCTCTGGGTGTCCCTGCTGGAGCAGGGGGTTGGACTGGATGATCTCTAGAGGYCYCTTCCAACCTCAACCATCCTGTGATTCTCTGTGCCTGTAGGYTTTTTGTTCTTTGCTGAGGATTACCTGTAGCAGATGCTTCTTCCTACACAGTTATGTTTTGATTGGTTAATGAGGCAGAGAGGAGATAAAGCACTTCTGCAATTCTTAGATGAACTGACTTTTTAAGGTGTTAGAGGGGCCAGATGGCCCCGGCTCTGTGAGCGAGCCGGGCAGTCACACGAGGGGCGGATGCAGTCAGCTCTGCCGCCGCAGCCCCTGCAGAGGTGGCTGCACAAACAAGCGGCCTGTTTGTTCAGGAGGACAAGGTTGATTCCTGCTAGGGGACCTGCGCCTGCCTCGTGACGCGGGCTGGGGCTCTCGGGACGTGCCTGGCTRCTGGAGCTGCGGCCTCGCGGCCCCGCGGCGCTTTGCTCTCAGGCACTCGCCAGTGGGCACTCGCAGGCGGAGTGTCGCCCCGCTGTCTAGCTGCTTSTGTTGTGGGTTGTAGAGGGCCTGGTGCATCTTCCTGCCCCACTGCGTGCTCAGCATAGCAGTGCTGYGGTGCTGTTCCTCATAATGGCCTCCTACTGGCACCCATCTGGCCCAGCTGAAGATATCCAGCTGAAGCCAACAGAGAGGAAGGTTTATCTCCAGGCAGTAGCCCAGCCCATGTCTCCCCATTCCCAAATACCTGCTTTAGGCTTTCGTTTCACCGACGCGGTGGTGATGAATCCCATACAGGCAGGTGGGTTAAGTGGAATACAGATGAAGTGAATTTTTTCCTTCTTTAATTCCTTTCCTTCTCTTCCTTTGCAAAAATCTTAAAATCACTCTCTAGACCTTCAGTAGAGTGTGGCAGTATTAGTGCTGACAAGCCCTTTGCTGTTTTTTCCGCAGCATTTGATGATGAAATAGTTTCTACAGATGTGTCCCGCTACATCGAAGATCCTGGGTTTGGGTACAAAGACTTTGCAAGGCGAGGAGAGGAGCATCTGCCAACCTTCAGAGCTCAGGTAGCTTTTCTTTCAAATACACTCACTCACAGAGTAATACACATTTTCTTACTGGGCAAATGGTGCAAAGTAATTGCAGTGGAACATGTTTGTCACGTGTACGTTTTCTTGCCATGGTAGACTAAATAATTTGCAGGCTTCTACAGGTTCATGAGAGGTGAGTCCTCCGTTGCTGTAGACAGACGGGGATATATTTAGCTTTCGGTCTTCAAATATTAAAGGAATTGGTGGTAAAACTATAAAGTGTAACAGTAAATGTGGAATACAAGTGAAAGGTAAGGAAGGAAGAGTTTCTTCTCCTTTCTTTTCTCCAAATTCAACTGGAGGAACATTTAATTTCTGAAATGTTCAAAGTATTCTCTGCCCAGTGGTTATCAATAATATATACACGTATGTATATATATGTTTGTGAGAATCATTTGGTGAGTGTTCTTTTCGTGTGTGCACCAAATCACTGAGCTGTGAATGTCTGAAAAGAAAACGACAATTTAAATAGGATTACTGTTTGKCTCCATGAGAAAATACATRTGTGTGTGTGTATTTGTATTWATATATTTAGTRTGTTCAAAGAATTGCCCTTTCATCTGTACATTGTTCAATATAAACCATGGTCACACTCTTCATAACATGAATAGTAAGGGTAAGGTTGTAGGTGGTCCTATTCTGAGGTGTAGAACAGATTAATCAGCAGTGTAGGAATAAATGGCAGGCAATGGAAGAAATCTTGCACCAGGAAGAGAGTAAAGAGGTGGTGCAGGAAAACTCCCTAGTCAGAAGATTTATCTAAGACTGAAAAATACAGAACCCACGATCACTTTCAGGAAATGTATTTAGCTATAGAGCAGACTTTGCTGATCTGGGTGATTTATTGTGCAGTCTTTATATGAGCATTAAAGTAGGTGGGCATTGCCAAAAGAATAAGGCAAAGTTAGTGCCTGTAAATCAAACACACTGCTTAACTACTTAGGATCAACAGGCTCCTATGGAAAAAAGCTCTGCTGAARCTGAAACCGTGACTGAAAAGTCTCTGCTCTTAAATACAGAGGGCAGCTTCTGASCTGCTTACAGAGGAGTCATCCTGAAAATTTAACTTTATTACTATGTCCTTCTCTTGGGTAGTTAGATGTATATACCTGCAGCCTCCCAAATGCTCTTTTAATGCTATTCCAATTGCAGTAGCATCCCCAAACCCTCTAATATATCCAGTCTTGGTCTGTCTAAAACATCTTTATCTCTGTGTGTTTAAGTTCAGTAAYAGAAAAATGCATTCAACAAATGGCATTTTGTTTCTTTTCTGCGGTTAGTATGGAGCAACTGCTTTTAGTCAACAGTGTTGCTTCCCTCCTGGGGCTTCTGGTTTTCAGAGGYTGATACCCAAAAGAGTCCTAATTAGTATTTTTTCTATTCGAACCAAACAAAAAAATGTCCAACCAATTCCTGGCCAGCTGTGTTGGAGAACCATGACACAGACCGGGCAAGGATGTTTCAGATGAAGGTGCCACGTTAAAAACAATAAGGGGATACAGGCCCAAAGAACCTGCCACGCACTTGGTGCTGCAGCTTGGCTCCTGGCTGCTTTGCTATCTATGTTCTGGGGATGCGAAATTGTCYTTTTGCTCTGACCTAGGTCATGTCTGCGCTCTGCAGGTTGCACAAGAAGATCCACATGTTAGAAATCCCTTGAGGCTTCAGCACAAGCAGCTCAATTTAGTTGGCTGGACATCGGTGTCCAGGGCCTTATGTGAAACCCTCAGTGGTCCCGGGCACCTGAACAGGGCTGGTAACTTTGGGAGATGTCTCACAGGTCATAGGGCTGTTCAGAGACTAGAGGCCCAATACAGGGCACTGCAGATATCACTGAACGCTTTGCTTTAGGCAACTGCTGGATGTTGTCCTGCCTTCCCTCCCCTCTGTCTCCATCAGGGGGCCACCGAATAGACAGATGTGCTCCGAGTGACTCTGCAAGGGCCCTGGCCTGGCTGCAGGTTAGAAAAGGGGCAGCCCCAGCCGTAAGGGGAGCCGGTGCCCTGGGCTGTGAGGGGGACGTGGCTTTGGCTGCAGCCTTGCTGTGGATGTGGGTGAAGTGCAGAGCTCCCTGCTCCCGCCGCAGCACAGCAGACAGCAGCGACTCAACTCCTCAAGAGCAGGGCTGATGTTTTTTTTCCCTCGTGTATCTTGTAGGCTAAAGGCATCCAACCTACAAGTAGGGTGCAGCAATGTGGCATGGATCGCCAGGAAGCCCGGCACAGTGGAGCTTGTGATACAGATGGAAGATTCAAAATACAAATTTTTGAAGATAATAAAAATCTTAACTAACAGCAGAAACAATTAAGTTGTGTATAGGACCAAATAGAGACTTAACCTCTATATTTCTCTCTCTGTGTTTCTGYAGGACTATACTTGGGAAAATCATGGCTTTTCCCTTGTAAACAGGCTTTATTCTGACATTGGGCATCTCCTGGATGAGAAGTTTCGGATGGTCTATAACCTCACGTATAACACTATGGCAACACATGAAGATGTTGATACAACTATGCTAAGAAGAGCTTTATTTAACTATGTCCACTGTATGTACGGAATCAGGTATGGAACAAAACACGCTGGCTAAGGAGTGTGTTTTAAAGTGTGCAAACACAGACAGAAAACCACGTGAAGAGCATTACCTTGGAATCCAGGTGCTAAAGTGGGGGTGGTAGCTCAGTGCACAGGTTAYAGTGGTTTTGCTGGAATATTATCCATACAGCTTTTGATCACAGTGAGAAAAATGGATAGGAGTCAGGATGGAAGTTGGTACAGAAACRTCTTTCCAGAAGTCAGCCTGTTACCTCCATTAGCAAGTTCTGTTCTAGCATATATATGCTAGAACATATAGAACCTATGTTCTATAGAACATAGAACCTCCGCTATGCAGTTATGTTCTAGCAKAGTAATGCCAGAACTTAATATGCTGCCAAAGACAATGCTTTTGGAGACCTATATCCAGCAGAGTGATTGCCTCTCTTCTTCAGGTATGATGACTATGACTATGGAGAAGTTAATCAGTTACTTGAACGCAGCCTGAAGGTTTACATAAAGACAGTGACCTGCTACCCCGAGAGAACCACCAAGCGCATGTACGACAGTTACTGGCGTCAGTTCAAGCACTCGGAGAAGGTAGGTGCCTTATATGGACACCAGCGTGTTTGGAAAACGAAAAATACACTTGTGAAAGTGTTTGTGTCTGTGAAACTAGTTGTTTTAACCAGAAAAAAATAGATGAATTCAGTGAGCGTCAAATGTCCGTTTTACAAAAATGCTTCCTAGTAGACTGGAAATGTTGTCGGTCCTTCRCTTTATTTTGAATGGCTTCTTCATAAACTTGGACATCTGTAAGAGCAAAGTGTTGAAACTTGGGAATGCAGAAATGGTCAGCATGGCAACGCTTCTGATTTGGGGACAGAAAAGAGCTTATTTCGTATACACAGCCCCTATTTCACATACGTAGTCCTCCTGGCGTCTCTTCATCAATAAACAATGTCAGTGTATCTGCAAATATCTTCTCACACCTGCTGACAAGAGCCCAGTGCTTGTTTGCYTTCTAGCATATCTGACAGATGAACTGTTCCTTCTGCTGTGCAGTAGGGTGGTAGTAGGTGGCAGCAAACGAAACAAAAATGCCGTTCATGAAGAATTCGTACCATTAGGATATAAAGTGGCTTAATTAGAGCTTCTCAGATGAAAATTGGTTTAAAGTGGAGGTTAAAGGAGGCTATCYGGCGCCCTTGAATATTTTCTAATACTAGATATTCTAAAAGCACTAAAAGCAGTTAAAAAGGAGCGTAAATGAATAAATGAGGATGGATTCAAAGGCGAACTAAATGGCTGGTATAATTTTTCCACAGGTTCACGTAAATCTCCTTCTGATGGAAGCTCGGATGCAAGCGGAACTTCTGTACGCCCTTCGTGCCATAACTCGCCACCTGACCTGAGGCAGCCCCGGGAGGGAGTAGAGGAATTTTTCCTGAGTATGTAAAGACCTTTTGAAATAGATACACGCCAGAAGTTGTTTGTGATGTAGCATCAGGTTATTCAATTCTCTAGTGTCAAAGTTTAGCCGTGCTTCCCGACGGCTGTAATGTGCAATGACGTGTTTTATTTTCTTGATGCTTAACATTACTAATGATAACAAAACATGACACTGCGGAGCACTACTCCACATTGGTTCCGGTTGGATTTCTGCACAATGGTCAGAATCCTAAAACTATTTTTGTTATACTCAATTCTAGCGCTTTGTCCTTTAAGCACTGGAATAAAGTGCTTAGAGACTTATTTTCCAAGCAATCATTTTTTCAGATTAACGGAATCCAGCAGAAGATCTGTTCTTGAATGTTCTGAAAACTTTCCACTGAGTCATAACTCTGATAGAGATGCATGTGCTGTGTTAAATGGAACTGCCCACTGGATTCATCTGTGTCTCCTGGAGGCTGCTTGCCAGTCACTGTCTTACTACAGCAATTGAAGGTGATGTGAAATGTGGATGCAAGCGTTGACCACACTTTAATGTGAAATGAATCATGATAAATTCTACGGCATGCTACTGAAGTACAAAACTCGTCTGCTCTATCTGGTCTCTTCCCAAGGGAAGAGGCTTCACCATTTACCATTTCAGCTAAACCTACTGTGTTTTCAATCATGCAGAATCTTGTTTTACTGACAGTCACCCTCAGTTGTCCTTCCAACATCCATGCTCATCACATGTTGCAGTTTGTTTAGTTGGCACCTGTAAAGATARTACTCAGACTGACCAAAAATAGGGTTGTGGGGTTTTTTGCACTCTCTTCTTTCTCAATGTTATAACTAAGGAAAGCAAAGGAAGGCTAGCATATCTGTTCTTTCATATTGGGTGTATAGAAATCTATTTCCCATAACTTTTTCATAGCATGAAATTGTAATATTCAAAGTTTAAAAAGTTTCTATGCATTAGTGTGAGTGAACAAATGAAAAGTGCAATATTTAAAAGGAAGCAAGCTTTTTTTCCCTGTCATGTCACTGCTAAAGTGTCCTTCTGAGATAGCCATAAAGAAATTTTGAAACCAAGTTTCTTTATTGTCTAAGGCCTAGCAGTTTGGGTTTTATCTTTTGTGGCTTAAGACAACCTGATACTGAGATGCCAAAGCACCCCCAAAATAAATCATTCTTGAACAACAGATAATATTGGGGAAGGGAGGAAATAAGCTGCCAAAAATGTCACAGTTTTGTGCTGTTTTCTGTTGCTTCTGATAAATTCACAAGAGCACAAAATGTTGATATTTATAGCTTTATTTTGTATTGCATTTAATGAACCAGTGAAGTGCCTAAAGAGATGCTTAAACTTACCCAATAGAATGCAAGTTGTCACTGCTTAAACTTTTGTCTGTTGCTTTGGGCTTTTCATTTTGCTTCGAGGAGGGTGACGGTTCTTTCTGTCACAAACATTCAAAACTAGCACGATAGATTTAATGTTTTGTTGAATTGTAGAAGATGAAGCAGGTTGTTTTGGGTTTTTCCATTGACAATTGCAGAATAGCTTTTTTTAAGAAACGATATTATCAGCCATATTTTAACAGTCTTCATTGACAAAATCATGGACCAGTATGCTACTAAAATTGTTTTTCTCTCTTCTTTACTTTTCCTGATACCTTGCTGTGACTTCGCATGTGGGCTTTTTCACTTTGTCTGTTGCAGATTGGGAAACTAAATGATTGTAGACTTTCTCTGCACTTTCAGACTGCAGACTCTGTGCATGAGAAGCTTTTGAGGAAAAAGTGGTAACTTTTTGCCAAGTTTAACATTAGCCATTTAGAAAACTACCCAGCAGGCAGCATCAGAACCTCTTCTAGAGAGAGCTTTGCATAAAACATTAGATTCCTGCGTCTTCGCAGGTAGCTGTATAAGATTTCTCCAAAGTGTTGAGATGCTGGTATGTATGAGCTTAGATGAGCTCTCCAGGTTCTCACAGTCCTTCGTTCCCTCCCTATGGTGACTGTAGTGGCCACATCTAATCATTTCTGTGCATAAAGTGGTTCTGCTGCAAGAACTTCSAATGCGGTAGTTTTATTTACGTGAGGGGGACTGTACAGTGCTACTTTAAATCCCTTTATTCTGCAAAGTCACATAGTTCTCAAGAAGCACAGTCAGTCTTTGGAAAGGAGGTGAAACTACATTTCACCTTTTTAGGTGACATTAGTCACATTTAGGTGACTAATATGACCACTTAGTTTCCCTTCAGAAATGCAAAGACTCGTAGAGTAGGTTGACGTTTATGTTTGGAAACATGAGTGCCTTTACTTCTTTCCTTAYGAAATAAACTCGCCAGCTCAAATGCCTTCTGAGCAAAGTACATGAGTAGATCTGAAATATGGAAACCATAAATGGATTGCTTCATAAACCTTGTAGTAATTCAGTAATTTCTTTAATACGCCATACTGAGGCGAGTATGGCCTGCAAGACATTCCATCATAGGAAATGTCATGTTACAAGTAGTTTGCTATATCTTTTTCTTTTTTTTTTTTTTAATATACAATGTAAACTTGAAATTTCTGAAAATGCTTTCCAGGTGGCTTTTTTTCTTTTTCCTTTCAAAGCATTGCATTTATGATGTAACACTTTATAGACTAGTTTTTCTATTCAAAATCATGATGTTAATAGGTATTTGTTCAGAACAGGTGTTAAAGTCACGCATCTTAGCCATATGTTTTACTCACACTTTAGACTCACTTTGTGCCAAATTTTAACGTGCAAGTATTCTTGGATTTTGGAGGGGTGGGGGTTTTAAAGCACTCGTGAATGTGAGTCCTCACACTTTATTCAATAATACTGTTCTTAAGAGCACCGTAGTCATTGGATACTCCCCCTCTATGTTCCTTTGTTGGGATTTATTCTACCAGCACTCTTATTAGTTCACGAAATCCCAGCCGTGGCCAGTGTAAAGCAAAGTGTGCAGCCTCCTGCCTACAGAAGAGAAAGCTTGCTAGGTACCAGTCAGCTCCCTCTCAAAGAAAWTGCCCTAAGTGGGGAGCAGAGTCTGGGAGCACGGACAGCGTCTGAGCTTGCAGAATCCCACCAGAATGTGTCTTCTGATAGAGTGTGTTCTCTTGGAAATGGTTGCAATTCTTTGGTAATGGAGAAGTGACAAAAATACAAATTGGGGAATGCATTTGCATTTTCCAGAATACGCTGCCTGCGGCTGAATGTCATGGAGTGTCGTCACCCAGGAATAGAAACCATTTCCTACTATGGTACAGTTTGTGCAAATAGTTACTACAATTTAGCCTTGCGGTGAACTGGAAGTGGATTTCTTTTTAACAGTTCATCATTTGTCCTAAAGGCTGCATTAAAATGAGAAGAATGTACTTTAAAAAAGAAAGTTTTGCCACTATAAGCTCTCTTTGTGTTTTAGAAAAAAAAAAAAAACCATTAGGAGCAGAGGAAATCAATCATTAGAAATAGTTATAAATGTGGATCTCTATAAATTTATGATAGATTAGAACTAGACAAAAAGGAAAACATTTTGCTTCTCTGCTACTTCGCAGAAGGTCAAAACAGCAGATTCTTCAAGGTATTTTTCTTCATAGGATGCTGATAGATGGTTTGATGGGATTTGGAAAAAGCAGCTTGTTGCTTAAATGCCAAAGGGAATTTAAGCACCTAGCCACTTAGCAAAACCCTGCCAGGTGCCCACTTGCATTTTGAGTCATATTTTTAAAGACACTTCATTATCTAAATTCCACAGAATAAAATCAGTTTCCATAGAGATTAAAGGYATAATATATTACAGATCCATGTGATTTGCCGCAATTATAAATGAAATGGCTTGTTTGGAAGCATTAATATATCATTAGAACAAGCTTTCCAGAAGAAGTTAAAGCATAAGCTGCTGTCCTGGCAGGACAGTGCTTGGCGTGTCTTGTGCATGGATGTTTTCATGAGGAGAGGCCTTTGGGGCATGTGCTCCAGAGTTTGGACTCTCTTCCAGAAGAGCTGGGTTACTTAAACTCTACTTGCAGAAAAGATTTGTTGGCATCAGCAAGTGTGTAGTTTGAGCCAGGTCTTAAAATTTTGGGCCAGAAGGATATATTCCAAATCTTCTTCATTTCAAGTGAGGTACTTTCAGTTACTTTCCTTAGAGGTTCAGGTTCTTTTCTCATAAATGAGGAATGAAGCTAGAGAAAGTGGGGAGGGAGGAAGGGGGTTCTTTGAATTTTCCCAGCTCTGATTGGAATATGCAGCCTTTTGAATTTTCTGGCCCTGAGTAGTCAATTCAAGAGCTGGACAAAAATGTCAGTTTTCACAATCCAAACTTGAGATTCATCTTCCCTCATGTGCCCCAGCAGGTAGATAYGTCTGAAGAGAGGCATCCACCAGCTTCCTCACATTTGGAAAATGCAAGTGAAACTTTTAATCCACAGTTGAAAATAAATTTAGGATTCTATCCCTACTGCATGAATCACAGGTTGGGAAGTGGAAGGAGCACAGTAAGATGAGGAAAAGTTAGGCTCATCTTGCACGGTGTTAATTTATCTCCTAGAGCAAGTTTTCTTGACGTAGTCATAACGCTGCTCCCCCAGCTCACACCACATCTCTCTTGCAGATGTTTAGTCCTTTTCTTCTTTTTAGGGGCGTAAACTGGGATTTGACGCTGCCACCACCTCCACTCTCTGCATCAAGCGCTTCCTGGTTTTCCAGTGCTCAAACCCTAACAACAGTTGAGACACAACCTCCTAGCCTTAACCTTGTAAAATACTGTAAAGTTCCCATATTGCCAATCCTTATTGCGTCCATAGGATCTTTGCTATGTTCAGAAACATTTAATTCCAGTATTAAGTTATTCCTGGGCAGGAAAATTCTAAATCTCATTTGAAAGTGTGGTACTTAGTGCGTATTTAGAATATTTAGGCAGTACTTGCTAGTAGCGTATCATGTTCCATCTCTGGAATTACAATAAAAATCCAGTGAATCCACTAAGAAAATGTTTTCTTGGGCAAAATTCCCCTTGCTTGAGAGCATTTTAGCCATGAAAGTTTCTTCTAAGGAATTCTTGTAGGGAATTTCGAGACACTCTTTTGCAGCGTGGAAGGAAGTTAARTGGGTGTTAGTGGGGTTGTTCTCCTGGACTGTTCATGGATTCCTCACRGTGGGACAGACTGCAAAGGGCCTTCAGAACAAACGGATTTGGGGTTTATGTTCATGGGTAGATCCAAACRCAGGATTTATGGCCATTGCTTGAGAAATGGCACATTTTAGTGTTCTTATTCATACTGAACACTGTAAAACTTGTGGATTATAATGAAAACAGAATCTGAATTCTGCCCTTGTTCTTGACAATAGCTAGAGTCAGTATTGAAAATGCCAACAATTAGATTAAATGTGGGCTTGAGCAGACAGCCACTCACCCTGTCAGCATCTGAAAATGAGAATAACTGGGGGCACAAGCAGCACAAGGCAAAATCAACATTTTTGCCAGTTAAAATAGATCCATTGATGTGTCCAAAAGGTTCTTTCTGTGTAGGAGAGACAGTAGGAAAATACCTTCTTCCAAAATTTCCAGTGATTTTCTGTATAATACATGAGACTCTTCAATTGCTACGACAAACCTTTCCCTTTTATTGTTTKGTGGATGTCGAAGGGCAAGTTTAACATTTCATTATGTGTGAGTAAACGTGCTGCTGTTGAGTTGCATTTTCTCGCCTCCATCAACTTCTGGGATTTTAAAACAAAAAATTCCCAGCGCGTCTCCAGCTCCCGCTCTGGCAGACGGTGAGAGCAGCTCATCCCAAAGCCTAAAACCTGATCCGCTCATTTGCCACCTCATGCTCATGTTGTGCTCCGGATTGAAAGGCAGCCTTCCCATCCACCTCCCTGCCCATTCCAGCAGCTGCTGCAGCGACTGGATGTGTGGCTGCTCAGGCGTCCAAGGCAGGGAGCTTTTCCTGAAATTCATAAAAGAATTCCAAGGGGCTGCAGTTGTGGACTGTGTGGGGAAATGTAGTCACAAATACTCTATGCTTGTGACCGGAACTGGATATAAACCGTAGCTTAAAAAAAACAAAATAGGAATTTTGTAAACTTGAAATCTCTCAGTTTTACCCTTCCTCTTTTTGCTGGAAAGCTACATAATGAATGTATATGCTTTATCTTTTTATCTGACATAACTGAAACTCAGACTGCCAACTTCTTGTTTTGTATTAGCCTTTTTTTTTTTAATTTGTGAGCAATATATGTAGCATGCTGTGAACGTCTGTTTTGATCCTTCTAGTTACTCTTTAATTCATCAGTATTAACACCAGTTCCTTTTCGTGTTTTCTTTGGTACTTTGTATCCAGTGTAATCAGAAGCTGTGAGAGGCTTTGCAGTCCTGTGCTTTGTTACTGTAAACACTTTGATTTATATAAAGCAGGTGACTGTGGGCCAATGTGAGGCAGGCAACATGACCTTACATGACTGCCACTTTTCAATCTCTTGTACTATGTATAGTTTTAAGTAGAATAAGCTTTTTAACAGAATATTGATGCGGTTTATGATTCACACAGGCTGCAAATGTCTGCTGTGTGAGAGTCTTTGTATTTATAGTTGTTGGGTTGTGTTCCTTTTTTTTTTTAATTCATAAAGTAGCAAACTTGATAAAACATAGCCACTTTAAACTGCTCTTGGTAAACAGACCCTGCTGTACACAAAATACCACTGTATCTCTGGGGAGGGTTACGGGCGGTGCGGGGAGGCCGCTCCAGACTGCGGATGTGCGGAGCCCCCATCTCAGAAACGCACAGCGAGATGCGCAAGGGCGCATGGACGCCYGGTCACGTTTGGGCCACAGTGCTGGGACAGCCGTGGCTTAAAGTGTCTTTCAGCCACYTGTTGCCCTCCGCAGTACACGACAGGGCCGGGACATGGGGGTTTCCATGTGAAAGCCCGGGTTCATGTAGGCGTTGGGGAGAGGGGAGGCAGGATGGGCGCAGGCCCGGAGAGCGGCCGGCCTGTGTGSGCTGCAGCTCCTGCAGCTGGTCGCTTCTCTCAAGCCTCTCGAGTACAAAAAGTAGCATCAGAATCAATGTGAGGGGTGAAACGCAATGTTTGCCCCCCGCTGCTGTGACTTCTCCCAGGACGGTGATGGGTCTGAGCCTTGGCGACCCGAGGCTGGGCAGTGACGTAAGGATCCGCCCGGAGCAAAGGGCAGTGATTTGTTGATCATCCTGGAGGGAAGTTGTTTCGTTTCCCATTGCGGCTCTCACCTCTTGTCCTCTGCAGAGGGAGGAAATTGTCCCAGGCGCCTGCCTGGCAGCTGCAGGTGTCCCGCACCGCCGGGGCTGCCCTGCCCAACATTGGGGATGGAGCGTCAGCCATGATGGCTGCCCGGCCCGATGTGGGGATGGAGCGTCAGCCATGATGGCTGC